GTCAGTGTTTGTTGTTGGGCATGGTCAGTGTTTGTTGTTGGGCACGGTCAGTGTTTGGTGTTGGGGACGGTCAGTGTTTGGTGTTGGGGATGGGGATGGTCAGTGTTTGATGTTGGGGATGGTCAGTGTTTGGTGTTGGGGACGGTCAGTGTTTGGTGTTGTGGATGGGAATGGTCAGTGTTTGGTGTTGGGAACGGTCAGTGTTTGGGGCTGCGACTGGTCATTGTTTGCTGTTGTGCACGGTCAGTGTTTGGCGTTGGGGATGCTCAGTGTTTGGTTTTGGGGATGGGGACGGTCAGTGTTTGGTGTTGGGGACGGTCATTGTTTGGTGTTTGGGATGGGGATGGTCAGTGTTTGGTGTCGAGGACAGTCAGTGTTTGGTGCTGGAAATGGTCAGTGTTTGGTGTTGGGGACGGTCAGTGTTTGGTGTTGGGGATGGAGTTGGACAGTGTTTGGTACTGAGGATGGTCAATGTTTGGCATTGAGGATGGTCAGTGTTTGCCGTGGAGGATGGTCAGTGTTGGTGTTGGGGATGGAGATGGACAGTGTTTGGTGTTGGGGATGGAGATGGTCAGTGTTTGGTGCTGTTGACGGTCAGTGTTTGGTGTTGAGGATGGTCAGTGTCTGGTGTTGGTGATGGAGATGGTCAGTGTTTGGTGCTGAGGACAGTCAGTGTTTGGTGTTGAGGATGGTCAGTGTTTGGTGTTGGGGATGGAGATGGTCAGTATTTGGTGCTGAGGATGGACAGTGTTTGGTGTTGGGGATGGTCAGTGTTTGGTGTTGGGGTTGGGGATGCTTAATGTTTGGTGTTGGGGACGGTCAGTGTTTGGTGTTGGAGATGGGGATGGTCAGTGTTTGGTGTTGGGGATGGTCAGAGTTTGGTGTTGGGGATGGAGTTGGACAGTGTTTGGTACTGAGGATGGTCAATGTTTGGCATTGAGGATGGTCAGTGTTTGACGTTTAGGATGGTCAGTGTTGGTGTTGGGGATGGAGATGGTCAGTGTTTGGTGCTGATGACGGTTAGTGTTTGGTGTTGAGGATGGTCAGTGTTTGGTGTTGGGGATGGAGATGGTCAGTGTTTGGTGCTGAGGATGGTCAGTGTTTGGAGTTGGGGATGGTCAGTGTTTGTTGTTGGGGACGGTCAGTGTTTGGTGTTGGGGACGGTCAGTGTTTGGTGTTGATGATGTTCAGTGTTGGTTGTTCAGCTGGTCAGTCGGGACTGGTCCCGCGATCCTGGACAAGTTTCACCCTCAAAAACCAGTCTCATTTAGCAATTCCGTTAAATTGAAATGTATTACAGCAGGCTGCAACTGAGTCTGAGTCACAACAAAATCTGCTGTGATTTTGTATATTCAAATGAAAGACTCTCATTAATTGAGGCATCTCTCTCTGAGGAAATGTAAAGACAAATACAGAATAATCTTTTAAAGCAGACTGGAAAGTTATTCACTGGATTAATAACCAGTTAACAATTTATAAAGTGAACATCTGAATTGTGCATCATGCCACTTGGATAATCCTAAACTTTATTGTAGTGTAACAGAGCTCAGCAATTGTCTCATCTTTACTGAAGTACACAGACCGTTTGAGTTGGTGAGGATAATGAGGTGGCTGTCAGACCTGGTTTGATGAGCAGGGAAATCTGAACTCTCGGGCATTCTGTGCACATCAAAACTTTGAAATGTAAAGCTGTGCGAGAATGAATATCGTGGAGATTAAAGAAGCTACAGGACAATGGGTTAAGATGTGATGGAAAGAATTGCTGCGCATTTGAACCCACGTTTGGGAAATAACTCACGATTATACAACACAGAGAGCTGCTGGTGTGGTTTGTACTGTGACAGATTTTATTGGAGAAAGTCCAACATGGAGCGTGATAAATAGGTTGTCATTTTCAGAACAGTAAAACCAAAGGGGTTGATCCAGATTTTGAGGTCAATGTTGAACTGACAGTAATCACTGCGGACATTGAAAGTGTAACACTCTCTGTGGTTCACTTCCCACCCACCCACCCCAGTTAATTTGAATTTGGTGTCAGGGCATGTAGATTTCCAACAGAAGTGATGTCACCAAAGAGGGTGAGCAGCCGATCGTATTGAGGTATTCTCACAGACAGCAAGCAGGGAAGTAACTACATTGATATAGGCTCCACAGTTTTTCAAATTAAAGGGTCACACACATTAATTGCTGGAAGTATCACAAATAAACTTTAAAAATTAAGTGTAAAACTCTGTGGAGAAATTTAACAAGTGTATAATTGGCTTTCTTGGGCCAAAGAGATTTTTTTAAAGAAATACCTACAACTTAGTATGGAGTTATAAATCCGGTTACACCTCAATAACAAGGTGTAAGTTTTTGTAACTGGATATAATAAACACTAAAGGGATAGGTTCATGTCAGTTCAGTGATTTCTGATTTGTTTCCATCTGCAAGAACAGCACCTTCTGTGGTGAAGCAAGGGATTTTCATGTTTTACTGCGCAAGTAGAGATTTCAGAAGCTGTTGCCGGTCTCCCAGGTATTATAAAGACAGCTGATAATTTCTCCAGGTGCAAAATCTGACCCAGGCTGACCAAACAGCAGGGCCATATGAGATCATATTGGACAATGTGTGTAGGAACACGATGCAAGTCAAATCTATCTGCCTGCTCCATATTTAGTGTTTTTAATTCTCTCATACTTAAGTTAATCCTCAAAAAACACTGTTTTGCAAGAACATTTTCTTTCTTTTAATCTTTTTTACAGTTGCTAGCTGAGGAAGAAAGCAAGATTGCTCTCATTGACAAGTTGAGTTGTGAACAGCAAAAGAACCAGCAACGTATAAATGATTTGAAGATGAGGTTAGAGGTCAGTAGACTGCCCTTTCAGTGATGATTGCTTTATCTTTTGCAATGAAACAATTAAGGCATGGACTCTTATACTGCCAAGGGGTAATAAATTGAGGTGGTAAGTGTACAACAGCAGATATAGCTATTGACAACCTGAGGTTTTAGGTTCATAGAATCCCCACAGTGTGGAAACAGGCCATTCGGCCCAACAAGGAGAGTTCTTCATGATAACCTCAGCCAGTGTGAGGATTGAACCTGTGACTATCAGCATCACTCTATATCACAAGCCAGCTATCCAGCCAACTGAGCTAACCAACCCAGGCAGAGAAGGTTTAATGGGCTGAAAGGCCTACTCCTGTTCCTATATCCATAATTGATGTAATCTATCTGATGCCAGGATTTGGAAAGAAGTGAGACGTTGGAAAATAACCATTAATTACATTGTTAAAAGAACTACAATACTATTCAATGAATAAATGTAAACATAACTGTTGGCAAAAACATCACATTGAATTTTGCATGCATGAGGGTGTGAGAGGGAAGTGTACATGAAGGAGAAAGGGATGAATGGATGTGGAGTGGGAAGAAGTAACTGGAATGGGAGAAATGTGTATAGATATAAAACCTATTGGATTTAATGGCTTGTTTGCTTGTGATAGATTTAATGTTTAAAACCTTACGTTGCATATTGAAAATTGTCCCAGTTTCTGGGACAAGATTGGATGGATAGAAAGCATTTTGAGCCCTTTCTTGGAACTTAGCAGCCAGACTATGCAAGTACAGAGTGATATACTCTCTGTGTTAAAAGTTACAGCCGAAGTCGATAGCCCCTGAAATGTGTGTTAACCCAGACCCATTAACTGTAGTGCAGATGGCACATCAACTGGTGTTGCATGTTGTTTCACGAGGTTGAAATGCTGAGTCAGGGCTAGGTGTGCTACTGATTAGCATGGCATTTGACTGGGAGGCAATATTGTGAGTCACTAGCACCAGGTAAAGCTAGCCTGCTCCTCTGAAGGGGGTGGTCCATTGTAGCTGGAGCAGGGGCAGGGGCGGCTCCTGAATCTGACCTGAGAAACACAGAAGGCAGTGCAACATGACAGAAAGGTTTTCAGATGCTGCACTGTAGACTGATGAAGGAGACGAAAAGTGAGAGATGTCCTGTATCCACAAGGGGCCAGGAGTTCCTACACACACACTCACGCACACACGCACACATGCACACACACGCACACACACACACACGCACACACACACACACACACACACACACACACGCACACACACACACACACACACACACACACAAGGTAGTGGGAACCATAGTGGTCAGATCCCCACCCCCGGAGCTGGCTGTGGTGCTGCATAAAGCCCTCCTAGCTGATAAAGCTGAGTGAATGCATTTCAAGTGCCATATCCCAGCAAAACTGTGCCAGGAACCTCTGACGCTGCTCAATGCACTGCTCCACCATTCAACCACCAACAATCTCTAGCAATCACAGCTCATTTTGAACATCTTTATGCTACACTGTGTGCCCACATACTTCACAATGCTATATCTCACAGCTTCACACATCACCAGCTCTTCAAGTATAACAGCCAGAATCCCACTGCGTTCCTCCATGTCCCTCTCTTGCCAAGACAAGGTGAGCCACCCCAGCTGGACATGGAGGCAGTGAAATCCCTTTGCGATCCGACACAGCAGTGTTCAGACATGCAGTGCGTGGAGCGACGTGCTCACAGTCAATGGCAGCCCACAGCACTGAGAAATTGGCCATCCTCGCAAAGTTGGTCATCACTGCCTGCTTCTATCTCTCGGAAAAGAGAATGGAATGTGGGTAGCTCTCAATAAATAGGGAGAACTACCTCATAACCAGTATGCAACAAAGTGTGAAAAGATCGCCAGCTCAAGTCTTGAAGGACACAGGTGCAAATCAGTTCATTGCCCTAGGCACCATCAAAGGCATTGGTAATGCAGTCCTCACCTTAGAGTCATAGGGATATACAGCACGGAAACAGACCCTTCGGACCAACTTGTCCATGACGACCACATATCTTAAATTAATCTAGCCCTATTTGCCAGCATTTGGCCCATATCCCTCTAAACCCTTCCTATTCACGTACCCAGCCAGATGCCTTTTAAATGTTGTAATCGTACGAGACTCCACCACTTCCTCTGGCAGCTCATTCCATTCATGCACCACCCTCTGTGTGAAAACGTTGCTCCATAGGTTCCTTTCCAATCTTTCCCCTCTCACCTTAAACCTATGCCCTCTGGTTTTGGACTCCCCCATCCTGGAGAAAAGACCTTTTCTATCCACCCTATCCATACCTCCTTTTTATAATTTTGATGTTTTTTTTTTTGATTTTATAAACCTCTATAAGGTCACCCCTCACCCTCCTATGCTCCAGGGAAAATAACCCCAGCCTATTCAGCCTCTCCCTTTTGTTCAAACCCTCCAACCCTGGCAACATCCTTGAAAATCTTTTCTGAACCCTTTCAAGTTTCACAACATCCTTCCTATAGCAGGGAGACCAGAATTGGACACAATATTCCAACGTGGCCTTACCAATGTCCTGTACAACTGCAACATGATCTCCCACTCTTATACTCAATGCACAGACCAATAAGGGCAAGCATACCAAATGCCTTCTTCACTACCCAAAGCTGTAGTTGAGCTGTAGGTACAAGGTTTCAGTCCTTATGGAAGCTCAGGTGTCTTGCAGATTGTTCCCCATTGGAGGTTTAAGTTGGTAAGTTTCTCCCTGAGCTGACAGGTGCTATATCCCAATAACCCTTCTCCCCTATTCTCCTCCTTCTTCCTCCAACAACTTATCATGCTATATGTGACCTCTATTTGTTCCCCCAGTCATGCTGTATTCCAAAGGGACCGGCCACTCATGAACCCGCAGCCAGCAACTGCTTTGAGCAGAAGTTGTGAAGTCAGCAAAAACTCTGTCAGTTCCATTCCCTGCGGGTTTTAAGAACTTTGACCAAATATCAAAAACTCCATCAGCTCCATTCGCTGAAGGTTTTAAGAACTTTGACCAAATATCAAAAGCACCAAAGAAATGTAGAGTCAAAACAATAGCCCAAACAATTCAACCAAGAGGTGGTGTGCAAGTAGTTGATAATCTCTTTAAGTATCCCTGGTGAGGCTGGGATTAAGGGGGCTCCCTCCTGTTCAATTGTGAGAGATTGAAGGACAGAAGGTGATAGCTATGAAGTGGCACTGCTGGTGTCAAGTAAGCATTGCATTGTTGACCTTCTTGCTGAGCATACTTCCAGGGACTGTCCACCACACCCACACTAATGTTCTCACCATTCTGATATCAAGTATGATTCACTCCAGAGCTGTGTGCAGGTACTTCAGATATTATGGCACCTGAACTATGGCAACTTCCAATCTGATTTCATTGCTGGATTTGAGATTACGTTGCAAGTAGCTAACACAGCTGCAGTAATAACAGGTTCTGCAAATACTTGCAATGAAATAGCTCCCTGATGCCAACGGATTGTTGAGATATCACAGCATTATTTAACAGTAGATGTATTCCTTAATGCTCGTGCTAATAGCAGGGTGTAAGGTTCTGAGAATGAGTCAAGTCCAGGCCTCACTTTCCATTGCTGCGCTTGAGCCGAACATAATCCTTTGGCATCTCCAGCAGGCTTTATTTTTCCACATTTTTCAGCGTGTGTTTATTCCAAAGTTATCAACAGTACAAATATTGCTCATTTCTCTGAGGGTGAGTCATCCTTTCCAGGTTCTGTTGAATGTAATCCTTAATGCAGATATTATTCTGCAGAGTACAGCAACGAGGCCCAAGTGGATGTCAGACTCTCCATGGGGAGGCCCACAGACAGTCAGCAACATCACACCATGTGGGGAGAGGTTGTGTAGCAACAGACAGTGCTCATCGCTCACTTGGTCACAGGCTCATAGAACCTTCCAACACAGGAGGAAGCCATTCGGCCATTGTGAACATGACAGCTCTTTAATCCAATTGACAAGTCCTTAATCCAATTTCCCATAGACCTAACAAGTTATCTCTTTCAACTATATATACCATTCCCTTTCGAAAGTTATTATTCTTTCTCTTCCCTTCAACCAGCACATTTCACATCATAACAACACACTACTTTAAAAAAACACCTCGTCTCTCCTCTGGTTCTTTATAATTATCTTAGATCTGTGTCATCTGGTTACTGACCCTGCAACCTGTGGAAACAGTTTCTCCACTTCGATCAAAACGTAATTCTCACTGTTCCAAGGAAAACAATCCCAATTTCTCTGGCCTCTCCTAAATTGAGAAATCCTGTGTCCCAGACGCTCTTCCAGTAAATCCCTTTCACACTGAGCTGCACAATATCCCGCGAGCTCCCAGATGGGCGGAGCAAGAGCTGGTCCTTTTAAAGTGTGGCTGCACAAATTAAAGTGAGAGCCCATGCACTTTGTTGACCATCTCTCAGACTGTCCCTGGTGTTTGAAGATGGCTTTCCTCCACTCCAGTTGCATGGATTCTGAGGTCGTTGATCAGCTCAATGTGGGACCTTCCTGCAGACTGGCACCTGTGGGGCAGGTGGAGCTTGAAGAGATGGGCAGTAATCCATTTGTGTGCTTCGTCTGATACCTCTGCACATTCTTAACAAAGTCTCTCGATGTGTTCAGTGCCTCCCTGAACACACCTTCTCCATTATGGTCAGTCATGTCCTCCCATGTTGCGTGTGTTTGACCCCATCAGGTATGCTTTGTGGACATTCCTAAAGCTTTACATGAACAGGCAGCATACAACAACGTCTTGACATCCTTCACTAGGCCATCCCTAAGGGCGTTCAGGATGCCTGATAAAACCAACAGGATGGCACATTCCCCCCCGGAAAGAGGTAAATCTCAGCATCCTGACACAGGGACCACCCAGGCCTTGTGCTGCTGGGTCACTGGGCAGGCTAGATACATCCAGGTGCAAAATGGTTGAATCACTGCTCATCTCAATTCATCATGAATGCCAGATATTAAA